TGTTTGCAAGCTTGTACGAGTTCAACAATTCAGAACTATTTTTTTCACTATTGACCGGAACCCCTGAAGCCACCCAGTTGCATCTGTACTCAAGAGGTCTCAAGTTCTCATGTTGAACGTGACGGGAACAAAACATCTTCAGGTCATTCATTGGTGCGTCTGAGGATCTGGAAACATACTGGAAACATAACAAGGACTTAGCAGAGAATCTGTCACGGTTCTGGGATGATGAAGATGTGAACCTGCAACAGTGTGTGCCCTTGCGCCTATATGGAGACGGTGCTGATGTGTTAGGCTCCCTTGCTTTGTTAACTAGTAACTTGTTGTGTGTATCGACGCTATTTAACGTGCTTTGTCTTTGACAACCAAAGGTTAGACAAAGGGGAATGGTATCCACTTGTGTTTTGAGGTCAGCAGAACTTCGAGATGCTGTCCCTCATTGCAGTGTCATCTCGACACTCGAGTTCCATGATGTCCCGAATTGTGTTACCTGGCAACCACTTAGGCAAAGAATGTCTAAATATCTTGAGAGTCCCAACTTGTTTTGCAACAAGTGTCGATGCCTAAGGTTGGCTGTGCGCAACACGCTGTACACTTCAAAATTAGTGCGGGAGAAGTTGGTAGACCTATTGGTTTGGTCTTTCACCGCACTCTGTGCCATGGTTCAACAAGTTTCCAAACATTCACAATTAAGTCACGAAGAACACGTTTTGCTTGCAACTGCGTGTCTGAGGCGCAGGTCGATGGCCGACTGCGGATGCCTGGGGCCGTGAGTTTTCTGAGGATTACGAGCCACACTGGTTTGCAAGAGCTGGAAGTCAACTAGCTTCAGGGTTCAGAGGTGTGCTCGACGGACTACAAGGTGATCAAGATTTTCTCCATAAACTACTATCCTTCAAACGTGTTTTGGCGCCAAACTGTGTCTTTCGTTTTCCTCAAAAGCAGCGCAGCTGATGTGCAATTTAAACCAACTGAACAGTTTGGTATTCCGGCCAAGTCTCTGGAGAACTTCCCAGGAAGCTGGCACAGCTCCAGAAGGTTGATGCGCCAGTATTGCAGCGCAGTCCGAACACTCCTGCCACATGAGCCAGAAAGCGTGCTATACACGGCTTACGGACTATGCGCAGCGCACCGGCAAACGATACTTGTTAGATAAAATGGTTTGTGGCACGGTGTACGGTGTAGAAGTTTGATGTAAATCAAAACACATGCCTTTCCCAGGATCCTGAAAACAAAAGAAGAATGGGTGGCCGTTCATGGAGATGCCGCGTTGACGCGGATCCCGGGATTCATGCCCTACCGTCACTTGCCCCTTCAATGGCTTTGGGGGTTCATGTTTTCTTTGCTTTCTCTTCTTGTCACACACACGCACGCGTGAAAGAAAAGACTATAGGTGTGTACGCCGACCTCATGCACATCTGCGACCTCCAGATCTGTCCGGACGCCATCACATCTACTTTGCTTGAACTGAGCGAGCCCACTCCACACGCGTCCAGAGACAGCAAACTTGTGGGGCTCCTCCACCGATACCAAATATGGTGCAGTGAAAGCAGCCACTGGGCATGCCATGGCAAGTAGAGTAGGCCAGTACAGCATCTATTGGTTTGAAAGCTGTGGTTGCCTTGAATCTTTTTGATGGGGTGGAAACCCAACCTGCAAATAGGGATGGTTAAGGTTTTGTTTGGTGGATGGACATGACCGTGTGAGTGATAAGTGACTTGTCACGGGGCTAGCCTGATGGACAGTGGGTTTCATGGAACGACAAACATCTTCGTATTGTTTTGCACTTATCGATGTATATGTTTGCAACATCCATGGTAATGAGGTGACATCTATGTATGTGGGACTCACCTGTTGTTCTGAGAACCGCATTTTTCTGGTCGTGCCCCCAAGGTATCCCGTATGGTGCAAGAGCTTCGCCGAAGCTCTTCACGGCAAAAGTGCTTTGCCACGGTGGAACCACCCAGTATTGTAGCGTTTCACAAAAGTACCTCAAAGCTATCGCTGCACGGATGATGATTTATTTCATGTGCGATGTTGCGCGTGAGCACCTGGCTGAGACTCCAGCTTCAAAGCGCTTCGGCAAATTTACAGTTTCATGTTGTAGAAGAAATGTACATGGGTAACACTCTGGTTTCAACACGTTTTGAGGCACCGGTTCAACGTATTCTTGGCACTCACCGTGATGTACACGACTATGGCTGAGCATGGGTTCTTGTCCTAGTCATAGTCTGCAATTTCACGGAGTCTCTGCCACACGCTCAAATTTGAGCTGAGCCTCAACACCCCCAGGAAATACTGGCCATCGAATTGGCAATCAAAGAGCCATCCAACTTGGACTTTGGCCGATGCCTACATGATCTTCCGAAGGTCCTACAACTGACTCTCATCTTTGTTTTGTACGTTTTGCGTTTTTATTTGGACGTGTCCAGTTGAGTTGTTCACTTGCTTCACCAAAAATCTTGTTGGGCATCTTGGGCATCCAAGGGCTCGCGTCTCACGCGCTTCAGTGTGAGAAACTGCTGTGGCCGCTTTTGCCAAAGCAGCATCAATTCGAACATCTGATTTTTGAACAAGGAATGTTTGTGAACCCCCGACATTGCAGTTGCGTGTTGGATGAAGATTTGTTAGGGCGAATCAAAAACTTAGCGGCCCATACCCATCCATCGACCATGTCCCTGCGTGTCCTACAGCACTATTGCCTAATGGCAGCTCTGGAGTGGTGTGGGCGGGGCTGGCTGTCTCACAAGCGATCGGACAAACAGCTCTGAGAGAGAAACGCAGTACGCTTTCGTCAGCCAGGTTTCGTGGAAACGTGTTTGGTGTGGACACAGTGCAACAAGAGAAGCCAAGATCTTAAAGAACAAATAAATATATACACAAAAACTGATACCATATATGTCCGGCTCAAGTACGTGAAGCCCTTGCATTCAGTTTACAAGAGTTTTCTGGTGTATACTGCATGCCCAGCAAGCGCGCTTGTGGCCACCAAGTTTTTTTGGCGATAGTTCCTTGACCCGCTGCAAGCTTTCTGACTCTGCCCAAAGTTGTGCTATTTCTAGTGGTAGCTGAGCAGCCACCCTGACCCATCCCTCAGCAAGCCAAATTGAACTATAGAGCCTCGGGGTTGTATAGTTCGACCATAGAGGCTCTCAGCCTCTGTTGGGTTGTCCCAGAAGACGAAACTGGACCTGGGCAGACGTACTCGCCCTGCTAAGCTATCGTCTTGTCGGGGCCAAGAGTGAAAATGTATTGCAAAAAAAAGATGTCGAAGAACAGACAATCCGCAACCTCATGCCGCGCCGGCCACGCGATGGATTCAAAGGTACGTTCCCAGAAAGGGACGGGAGGCCCAAGTCCGCCATCGAGCTTGTTGACGACGGCGCCAAAAAATAGGGTGGGAGGTGTGTATTCGAAGAAGCCTTCTTGGCCTGGCCCAGCCGAAGGAGAAAATGTTAGCTGTTAGCAGCAGCGCAGGAACAAAACTCTACAAGTGAAGATGATGAAATCGCAAAAGTGTAGGAAACATGGAGCGCAACAAAGGCTGCAACAGCGCAGGAAGAAAGCCGCCGAAGCGAAGGATGAGTGTGCCTTTCGATGCTCTTAGCCACATTGGTGCCAAGTGGCAGATTGGGTGGATGCTTTCGGGCCTTGGGCGTACATACGCTTGAGTTCTTGGACGGCGCTTGTGACTTCTGCCAGAATATCGTCAGGGAGATGGCTGGGAAGAAGAAGATTTTACGCGAGTGGATGAGTACGTAGAAGAGTGTTTTGTTGGCAAACCACCAATATCCCACTATGGACAGGGAAACCCTGCCATGTTTGGTGTGGGAAGACAATTGATGTTCGCTGAGGATTTCCACGACCATGCTCGGGACGATGTCCTTCCTCGATGCGCAGGTGTCGCGGTTATTTTCGCGGTAGTCGATGAGATGCAACAAGACTACCGCGCGGCAGGGCAGGTATCCTGACCTTCCAAAAGTCGCCATGGGAGTTCTACGTGTCTACTTATATCGCGACTTGTTGTTCGTCGTTCGTAATTTTACGCGGTTTTCCTCGGAAGTTGTCATCAAGAACTGTGACGCAGTGCGACCAGAGAGTGATCGTACGGGCTATACGCGTGACATGGCCACAAAGCCTGCGGCCTTCTGGGCGGGATCAATTGTTTGTTGTGGCGCGGTCATGAGCGGCGGCCGCCGAGCGCGGAACACAGTAAGCGTAGAAGACCTTTGCAAGCTGATGTGTTTGAGAAGTACAAGTCGATGAATTATGAGGAAATTGGTGGCAGGTTATGAAGCCCTCACGCCTGGCTGTAGGATTGCGCCCTTGGCCGAACGCAGAGGTGGGGGAAGCGCTGCAAGGGCAGAGGGGCTCTCTGTGTTTGACCGTTTTGCTGTGATTTTGGACATCGCTTAAGTGAGGACTGGTCTCCTAATTTAACGCTTAAACGCTTAAATGAGAGAGGTACCTGTGCAAATAATGGTTTCAACCTCTAGTTGCGTTTACTGGCGTTTACTGACCCTTTTTAGAGGCTTTTAGTTGAACAAATTCACGGCTATCGTCTTTCAATAAGAGTGGAGCCTTGAGACAATAACTGTTCGAAGATCAGAGTATGTAACACCTAAGATACTTGACTACCGACGTGCAAGGTCGCTGCATGAGTCACATGACACGTGGCTCAGCTTGCCACGTTGTATCCCGGGAGAAAGGACCCGTCATGAAAACAGCGCAGAGCTCTGCTTTTTGTAGGCTAAAGCGAACCCTTCTAGAGTGAGGCTGCGTTTGCTCAATGAACTCAACCTAGCCGCCGATGTGTCACGGCTAACCTGCTCAGAGTCACCATGATGAGCCAAGTCGATGCTACCAGCCAGTTTTGTGGCTAGGTGCTAACTAGGAAGTGGTAAGCAGTATCAATCAATATTGCAACCTTGTGAGTGCGAAAATTGGTTCACAACAGCTGTCACACAAAGAGAAGACGAAACTTCAACTGCTCCACTGAGGTCCAAAAGAACTGTCGCTATATTTGTTTGTTTACTTGGGCCGGGGCCTGTGAGTTGACCCGGCCAGCATTTTTGCAGTTGGGCTGGGCAGCCTCCTCTTCAAGCTGACTGCACTCAAGGTGCCCATGGTGCACAAAGCCAAGTCGCGGAAACACCTTCTACAATGTTTGTCGCGTTCAGGCTCCTTGCTTGTTGAGTTCAGATGTGTGCTTAAAGTGAGTAGCGCCATCACGGACCTGGCATTTGCAAGGCACAGGCACGCGAATGTCGCAGAGCATGCAAAACCAGGCAATGTGTTCATTTGATTTGTATTGTAGGTTTGTGGTGTTGATGCTGCACACTGCGCAAGGTTTTTGAGGATTGGTACAACAAGGAGCCGGCCAACACATGTTGCCATGTTTTGCTGACAAAACTTTTTGACATGTCATCACTGAGAAAAAGGAATTGGCCCATGACGCCGCGAACGTGTGGACCAACTTCTGCCTTTTCTTGGTAACGCCCATCATAGGTGGGGTTGCAATGCATGAAATACTTTGCACATCTTTGCACGCGAAGCACGTTAAAGACAAAAGAGGCACAATCACACGCAAAATGGTGCAGGGTTTCTGGGGCTTTGTTTAGTCACGGGCTGCGGTCGGAGGCTGGATTGCGGAGTTGAATCGGCTAGTCGGTGTGTGTTTTCTTTGGAGTCAGCGCTTTCTCGGATTGAGGCCACCTCCACCAGTGCCACAGATGCCGCAACAATACGGTTTTACGAATTCTTGTCAGTGCTGGACCCAGTAGCGTGTTTGTGTTCCAACGTTGTCTCAACTCGTTGTGTTCCAAAGTGACCCTTTGTCCTTCTTGTAGGGTTCCGCAGAAAACAAGAACAATATGTTGCAAACAGTTTTTCGAGGCGACCGCCCTGGGGTTAATGCGGTGCCTTCAGAATGAGAGGATCCAAGTTGCCAAACCAATTTTATTGCTTTGCAATGCTTTCCAGCCGCAGTGGATCCTGCTACTTGTACAGCGTGGAGTTGTCAAGGATGTCCTACAAAATGTAACTCCTCGTAAGGACGTTTGAAGGAAACACCAGAGAGTTTGCCGAATCGAATAGAGACATCTTTGTCGGCTCCGATAGGACAATAGCGGTATTGCGGGATGTAAATATGTTCATTGGAATGGTGCCCATGCCAGACATACCCATTGCGCCCATTGCCTGATTTTTTTGGGGGGTCACAGCTTGAAGTTGCAGCGACTAGTCTACCAAATCGTGTGCCAGGCGCACTGATCACACTGAACTAGTAACTAGTAGAGACTTCCAGAATTTCAGAAACACATTGGGCTGATAGCCTTACAGTCCGGTGCAACACAGTATTTCAATTCCCAACTTCTACAAGATAGAGCAACTCGTCGAATCGTCCTTGCTTCAAGCTTGATGCGAGAGGTTTGGCAGGATAGAAGGGTTATGCAGGGTTGTAAAACTGATTGCGCATTGTTTCTCAACACGTTCGCAGTGGATTGAAGCTGTGAAGCTCAGAGAAGGAGCAGGTATTCAACATTAAGGTGCAAACATGACATGATCAAACATTTGTCAAACATAAGCATGCAACAGTGATGCATTGTGATGTTTCACGGAATCATCAAAGTCCTGTATGTGCAGAGATCTCTTTCATGTTTGCGATTGTTTGCATGCATTTGTACGCAGGCATCGACACCCATACTTGTCTAGTGTTGCTTACAGTATACCAAAGCATAAATAGCAAAAGAGACAATGTTTGGTGTAGTCAACTTGGCCTTTTGCTCCCATTGACCGTTGCAACATTTCAACATTGTCGCCTGCTGATGACAATCCTTGGAAAGAGCGATGATGGCTGGCCTGATGAGCCTAAACTACAAAGTGGCCCTCCCGTGCCAATTTATTCCATCATATTGGCGGTTGTATGGGTTTTGCCCGTTCTTTTGTATTGGGGCTTGGATTTTATATTGACCCGAAGAAGGCGAATTGTTGAAGAAGCTATGTCCTTGTCTGCCTCGCAGCAGAGCATTCAACGCACGGAATCCGAGCTTTCAAACGTTCATACCAACAGGCACCTTACGGACAATCTATCTGTGCGCGACGTGGAAGGAGACCATTTCCCGGTAATGTTGGCTTCCTTGGAGCACTCTTTGCCACACTTGGCAAAAGCTCGTGCAACTGCTGGGGGATTAGGAAAGGTTGTGGATCTAATCTCAAGGAAGCATCCTACGGACATTCTGCTGGTACATCCGATGCTTGAGGAGGTGTCAGGTCAAGTGGAATATGGGAAAGCTTGTGATGAAGATCCTCCTTTGCGCCTCGTTGTTGAAGGTGTCCGCCATGATGTTCAAGTCTTCCGGTACAAGTCTCAAGATACCAACCAGCAGCCACATGTGGAATTCTTGATGTTCCTTGTCTTGGTGATTAGCAATTTTCTGGTTTGGGGGTATCACGTGAAATCACCCCGAGTACTGAATTGTTTGCATCCTCCTTGAGGTTTCAGAAGGCTGCAACCAACCCAATTCTTTTGTGTGTGCTGATTTGTCAGGCTCGCCCACCCGCTCTTCAAAGCACGCACGCTAGACAGCCACTTGGACAAGAATAAACAAGTTGGCAACACATCCGCTCGATTCCACCTACCCTGGCTCGTGCTGTAAGATATGGAAACTGTACTGAACCATTTTGCAAATCATTTTTTGAGTTGCAAATGGTCAAAGATGTAAGATGAGCGGGTTGCTTTCAAGTAGGCGCTTTGCCTCAAGGGAAGGGATGGACCTGCTGATGAACTGGCGTGCCTCCATGAAAGTCAGATCGAGTTGCTGCCAGCTCTCTTGCTTTAAGAAATGCCAGCGAACCATGCAACTAACTAACTAGTACCATTACATACCTGAGCTTGCAAATCGCGCTGCCTCACAAGTTGCAGGCACGCACGTCATTTTCTTAGTGATTCAATTTGGCAGACCTCTTATAGACAAATTCCAGGTTCACAGGTCTGCGTTCAGTTGGTGAGAGAAGTGTGGCAGCGCAGGCGGAAAGTGGATGTGAGAGGCTGGGCCTAGCCTTCACTACATAGTTGGCAACGCCTAGGAACGTATTAACGTATTTTGTCGGCTGGCCTTTGTCATTGCATAGGAACAGCTTCTGACTTTATCCAAGGACACGTTCCGATACTGCAGCTTAGCAACATAGTTTGTTGCCAACCACTATCAGCAAAACCCCGTCCTTGGCAAACGTCAAGATCACCACTTGGTAGTGCGTTGGTTGAAAGCCTGCCAGACAGTCCAGCCTGCGCAGCTTTTGTCGCTGCAAGCCTTGGCAAAGCAACCTCGGGGCTAGGAAGCAGACAATCCAGGTTGCTCCCTTTCTCAATCAGTCAAGGCCGCAAATGTAAAGCAGCTTTTGTTGAGTTTTCCCCACGTGCCCTTTCTGGACTTCCGAGGGGCCTTCGGAAAGTCGGAACAGGGCGCTTGCACTTGAAGAAAGTGCTGGCACTTTTGCTGCAAATGCCTGCGGCCACCACTTCCCGAATGCAAATGTAAGGCCCTTGCCGCCCTTGGACCCTTTTCGCTAGCTTGCTCTCCGGTTTTGCTTCGGTTACGTTTGGCTTCTTTGGCCGTGGTGAAGCCGTTCACCTTTTCTATCCTTTTCTTATATTTGGCAGGAGATCGGCCGGATTTGAGGTGCCTTTCAAGGGGCATGAGAAGTGTTTTTGAGTTTGAGATGAATTCATTTGAGTTGTGGCATCCCAGTATACACACAAAATACAGGGCTGCACTAGGATGCAGTAGGCAACGATCGCTTAAGCGACGGGAACATGCGTTTGCCAGGTGCCAGCTCATGTTTGCCTCGTGGGTGTTTGTTGCATTGTAGTTGGCGTTTGTTGGGGAAGGGGTTTCCGGAGAAGTAAAGTGTTGGCGCCGCGGATATCTTCTTGTTTGACCCTGGTTTCATTGAGCATGCGCATTCCCGAAAAGCTCGCTACGCTTGTGTGTATAGAGTGTGAGATTTTGACCACTACTGCGTAGTGCAGCTGCCACATGACTAAGCAAGAAACAGGGTGCGCCTAGAATTGTTTTGGTCAAAATAGCTGGTGTGTTCAACTGAGTCGGTTGGAAGTCTGCGTGATCCTGCGTGTCCTGTCTTTTGAGTGAATATCCTCATCTATCTATTTGTCGACTGTTGAGATGAGGCATTTATCCAAATCCGATGTCGCGCAAAGCAGTCCTGACATTCTTCTCGCTTTGGAACCAAGCAGTGGGGGCGCTTTTGGTGAGGCACAAACCTCATGTCTTTCACTGTCCTGACTTTCATTCTGCAGTGGCGCCTTGGTATGCGATAAATGGGCATCCCAGCTTGAAAGTGTTGCTCGTCTTGCACAATGCGGAGTACCAGGGTACCATCAGCACAGACATGATTCTGGGCCGTCGACTGGAGACTTTAGCGTACGTTTTCAATTTGCCGAAGCACATCGTTGCAGAGCATTTGCTGTTGGATGGTCGATTCAATATGCTCAAGTCTGCAGTTGATTTTATTTGCAGTCGGCAAAATGGTTTTGGCGCTTGCGCAGTCTCCCACTGGTATGCTGCTGAATGCCACTCTGCCTACTCCGTCTTGTGGGAGTTGCCAGTTGTACATGGCCTGGACAATCCAATGTTGGAAGAAGAACGGGTTCACCTTGAAGGCGATTTGGCATCTGTGAAAGCTGATGCAAAGAAGAGGATTCAGCAGAGGCTTGGCCTTGAGGTGAACCCCAATGCTCGCCTTTTTGTTTCCCTGGGTCGACTAGTGAGGCAGAAAGGAGTGGATTTGATAGCTGATGTTGCCGATTGGCTTTTATCAAATTTTGCCGATGCTCAGCTAATTCTCGTTGGTCCTGTGGGCGATGGATTCGGGCACTATGCAGCAACAAAGCTGGAAGCGATGAAAGAGAATGGACGGCACGCTGGCCGCCTGCATGTTCACATCCAGTTTATGCCGGCCACTAAGCTTTGGAACTTGAGATGGCACGTGACGGAAGCATAGCTCGAACCAAGGCGAGACAAGGATGTCCTCAAGGATATGAAGTTAGGCAAGGGACTTCGCTCAGGGAGACGGAGGGCAAAACCGGAAAAGAACCCCAGACGCCACGACCTAGCCTTCAACATTGTGTTCTTTATCATGTCATGACTTCATCTTGTCAATTCTTGGTGTGAAGAACAACATCACATGCTTGCAGATGTACTAGACATTTGATCTCTGCAGCTCTCTCTCTCTATATGTATATAGAATAATATCCATACATATATATATATACATTACGAAAGCCAGCCGATAGGCTAGGCTTGAGTTCTTAGAGCGAACGAAGTGAGTTAAGGGGGTGTGGGGGGGGGAGGGTGCGAAAAGGCACCGTTTGAGGGGGTGAACCCGGAGCTTGGTGGGGAGAGCGCTCCAAAGCGAGGGTCAGAAAAGCAGTGAAAATGGGGTCTGGTGATGCGAGTGATGCAATGGACGCCGGGTAGTGCATCATTAGCAGCAACCACCCCAAAACACAAAAACTCTTCCAAGACGCTCTCCCCAGTGGCCCTGGCAAGCACGACGTAACGAAAATCACCCAAAAGTGTACCTCCAAAACGCTCTCCCCAAGCGATAGCCACGCGCGCGCGAAAAAAGCCCCCCCCCTAGCAGAGCTATACGCATCGGTGTGGGCGGATTTAAGGGGCTGACGCCCGACCCAGCAACGGGCCACCAGGCCCGAAGACGGTGGGGAGACGCAGAGCGCGTGGCGTTGCTGGGGGTGGTATAGTGGTGATTGGTGTAGTACTAGTTGTTGCTGTTGTTGCGGCTGCGGTCTCGGCCCCATGTTGGGGTGTGCTGTTTTCTGTTGGGGCCACGTTGGTCCAATCTTGCCCGTCTTGGGCCCATGTTGGGGGTATGTTGGGTTGTGTCGGGTGTTGTTGCTGCTGCTGCTGCTGTTGTTGTTGCGGTTGCGGTTGCTGGCTGTTAGTTGTTGGTTGTTGCTTGCTGCTGTTGTTGTCGTTGTTGCTGTTGCGGTTGCGGTTGCTGGTTGTTGGTTGTTGTTTGCTGTTTGTTGTGGTGGTGGTGGTTGCTGCTGGTTGTTGGTTGTTGTTTGCTGTTTGCTGCTTTGTTGTTGTTGTTGTTGCTGTTGCTGTTGTTGTTGTTGTTGTTGTGGTAGTGGTGGTTGTGATTGTTGTTGGTTGCGGTTGGTTGGTTGGAGGGTTGGTTGGTTGGTTGGTTGGTTGGTTGGTTGGTTGGTTTGTTGGTTGGTTGGTTGGTTGGTTGGTGGGTGTGTTGGTGTGTGTGTGTGTAACCCTTGGAATCATAGGGATCCTTCGGATTGTTTTGAGCTTTTAGCAGGGGGACTGATATCGGTGGGGACGCTCACCGACGTACCTGCTTTTCCTTTTTCCGAACGGCATGAGGCTAAGCCCAGAACCTCAATAACTGCAGACAGTTCACTTTCCGCAGATGTGCACGAGCCGCCGTCAACCTGTCCGACTCGCGATCGCCGTTCCTTCCTTTTCCTTTTGGCCATCTCTCCGTTTGAAGACCCCCAGGTTTCGCTGGTTTCCTACTGGTACTCTTAGGAAATGGAACCCTAGGCCGGCGTGTGGCACCGCATTCACATCAGTACGCATATCCATGAGTGTGTTTGGCTTCGTGCCAACCCGGGATGAGCCCGCAGAGTGCCTCCCGTGGACCCGTCGAACGGGTGTACGTCGTTATCTCCCCTGCCCGGAGATGTACGTGTCCGCAGCGGACAGTAGCTGGCTCATGCCACAAGAACTCAAATTTTGTCTCATCTTTGGAATTCCAAGTTGGCTCATGCCTTTACGTGACCGCAGCGGTCCAAGCTGGCTTAACGCCTCAACGTGGTCAGAGCGACCGAAGTACTTTTGAGGTTCATTGGAACCTGTTGGAGCCTTAGTTTTCAGCTGATCCTCCTCCTCTCGCCATGTTCTCTTAGTCTCACCTCACCCTCGGCATGGAGCTTAAAAGTTTGCCTTTTTTCGGGGAGGCGTGTGTGTGTAACCCTTGGAATCATAGGGATCCTTCGGATTGTTTTGAGCTTTTAGCAGGGGGGCTGGTTATTCATGCAAGTACCAGCCCAACGAAGAGGCTTGCATTGAACACTGATATCGGTGGGGACGCTCACCGACGCACCTGCTTTTCCTTTTTCCGAATGGCACGAGGCTAAGCCCAGAACCTCAATAACTGCAGACAGTTCACTTTCCGCAGATGTGCACGAGCCGCCGTCAACCTGTCCGACTCGCGATCGCCGTTCCTTCCTTTTCCTTTTGGCCATCTCTCCGTTTGAAGACCCCCAGGTTTCGCTGGTTTCCTACTGGTACTCTTAGGAAATGGAACCCTAGGCCGGCGTGTGGCACCGCATTCACATCAGTACGCATATCCATGAGTGTGTGCGTTTGTTGTTGTTGTTGTTGGTTGCTTGTTGTTTGTTGTTGGTTTTTGTTTTACCGTTATCCAGTCTATGTCCATACCAAAAAGGTTCCCGCAGAGCGGCTCAGTCAGTTTTAACGTTGCTTTCTGACGCCGATTCAAACCAACTTCCTGGTCAGTGCCTTGTCGCAGTCTACTTCGTAGAGTATGTCTACGCGAAAAAGCGCGCGCCGGGCCATGGAGGGTCTCTGTACCACGATTGTCAAATATTGACATCGGCAAGGATAGGCGTCTCGGCAAGCGTGCAGACGCACGTCCATGGGTTGGGGCAAACCTGCAAACCAGTTTGCTCACCAGAAAGTGTTTTTTAGGTTTACGCTGAGAAGCTTCAACACAGAGCTTCCAAAGTCTCAAAATCCAAACCAAGCGTGACTGCAGAGTGCAAACCGATGCATTGGCTGCGGAGATTGTTCTAGTTACAAACATTGACCTTTATAAGAGGTGAAAGTACAGCAGCAGGGACACCGAGTTGATCAGACTCGGTATCCCATGGTTGCAGCAGCTTCTTTGAGCTGCGCTCTCCTGCGCAATCCAAGCACCGATGAACCCAAGGCGTACACACACCAGCTCTCGCCAAAGACAGCTTTATTCGTAGCTTTCTCCAACAAACAGTTTTGAAATACAGAGCTGCTTTCTCTCACCAGACACCAGCTTGTCCAAAAGACAACTTAATGCTCGAGACTTGCTTTCCGGTGCCCGACACACCACATTTGTCTAAAAAACACCTTGTCGTACCAGGCAAGAAGCCGAGGAAGACATTGATTCGGGAAGATTCCAAGGATACTTTTTATTGGTCAAAGACCGTGCTCAGCAAGCGGCAGTCTCGAGTGAAGGGGAGCAATTGAATGTAGCGTTTGCGCCTGATGCCGTGCTGATGCTTCAAGTTGTCTCAGAGAGTTTGTGTGTGGAGATCTTGGGTGCCTACCGGGCCTACCGGAAGATGGCAGTTTGCGCCAAAGATGTACTCTCCACATACCACTTCATGAATGGTGTCTAAAAGTTGCGAAGGAGTTGGATCAGAAGCGAATCCGTGTCTTGATGGACGAGGAACAGAAAAAGGGCAAGAAACGCAAGCTGCGACTTTGTGGGTGTGAGGAAAGAGTGCGCTGGCTGCTTATCTTGCGCTTGCAAGCGAGCTTGGGGGCCTAAAACTGTTTTCTGGTGTCTTGGATTGCCGGTTTGGGTCGAACTGAGCGGTTCTCCTAGTCGCGAATTCACTTTATATTTTCGTGGCTTCACAGTTCGACTGGTTTTTCATTCCACGACACTGGCCACTGGCCACCCTCACTGGGCCACATCGCCACACAGCCAAATGTCTCCCGACACATACGCAATCCGTTCCCAAGTGAAAAGGTCACACCTTGCCTAATGTCTTCGTACCACTACACTACAACAGAACTTCTTTGGCGCGTTCCCCCATCGGCAGGGATCAGCGGATTTATTCATTGTAGAGCTCGTGGCAATGCGTGGTACGCTTCTACCGTAGCTCTTGCCCCCTTGCCTTGGTGGTAATGTTGCTGATCACCGAAAAGTCTGTTCCATTTCCTGTTTGGGAGGTTTGCAGTCCTGATCTCTGGTCAACATGTCGATCGGGCCCCCGTACCCTGGCTCACCCCAAGCCACAAGGGGAGAATTGTTTGCCACGCAAAGCCACGGTGGTGATCATCTTTCTACGGGGAATGACGTGCAAATGGCGAAACCTTGCGTTTTTGCGCGGCGGCTCATGGGCACGATCTGTACCTGTACCTCAGCACCCCTCGGTTTGGCCGGGTATGTGGGGCAAGTAGGATATGTATCAATGAGGTTCGCCGTACATACAATGACAAAGGGATCCAAAAACCATACAAACGGCAGAACCCAGGTGAACAGCTAGTGAACAGTGTTGCGTTTTTAACAGTGGTGAAGTGGCAGACTTTTTGAGTTCAAAACTTTCATACACGATGGGCACTCGTGATGTTTGTACTCTGCAAAGTCCTACAGTGATGCCCAATCGTTTGGCAAGTGTATTGAACGTCAAAGACCATCAAAGAATACGCAGGTGGAACAAGATCTGTATAGAAAGCAGTTGATGCCAAATATTATATAACATCAAAAACCGAACAATTGGTCGAATTGTGTTTCAAATATTGTTAGAATTTATGTCAAGAAAGTGATCCAATCCGTGCAACCTGCAGACAACTCAATTACAAACAGACAGACAGTTCCATCTGTAAGATGTTTGGAGGTGCAGACTTTTGTTTGATGCCATCACGAGATGAGCAGCCACCTCAGCATTCAGCAGTTGACTGTACTATACCAGTAGAGTTGAACGCTGTGCTTCGAGTGTTGAGTAGTTTAGTGCGATTGGCTTGGACAACGTTTGAAATGTGTTTAAGGTGTTTGAGATCAACAGGTACCCATGCAGTACACACGAATTTGGACTCATCCCTCTCCCCTCAAGAAGTTTACTTTAGAGAAGTCACATTCTCAAATCAGGTGCCAGTGGCGGTTTGTGCATGAGGCCCTTTGGTTACGTTGACATTGAGTTTGCGTGGCATGGGGCATTGTTGGTCCGAGACTTGGTATATCGTATTATATCGTGCATTCATACGTCTCTCTTTTGCTTGCAGCAAGTTTGTTGTTGTATTGTCGGCAAGACACTGGCTTCAGGAATCATGTCTACTGGTCGTTGAGTACCCGGACCCAAACTCGTGTTAAGGTCGGGGCACAAGCAGGAGGTTTGGGCAAGGTTCGATCCTGAGAGCAGAGTGAAAGACTTCAGCAAAATGTGGTGAAGAGTTCAAGACCAACATGGGGCTGAAGGTTTAGCTGGGTTTAAGCACCTCAAAGTCTGCTTCATTGAGTCCCCACATGAGTTGTTGAGGTTCCTGGATTTTACTTCTTGGCACAAAATCGAGAGAACTTGGATCGTTTGCGCAGAGAGTTACGCACGGCAGTGTCATTCCCTCAGATAATACACTGCTGGCATGTCTTGACTGGAACTAGTTTGTTGATCCGTATGCTTTGTATGAGTTCTTGACAAAACGTCCTTATAATTACTGTATGTATGTACTTTAGGGGCTGCCTTCAGTACATCTGAAATTATCAAACCCCTGCAGAACCGGTGGCGATGCCCTTCTTGGCAGGGAAGAAGCTCGGGTTTTTCAAGATGTTACGATGTTACGTCTCATTTGCTCTCAGCCTTGCTCCAAAAGACAAACAACTGGTAGTATTTCATTATTGGTGATCATTTTAAGGCCTTTCTTGTGAGTAGCAATGAATAGCATAAACTACTGAAAGTACTACTGAAGAATTGTGCATAAGTACACCGATCTCATGAACTCCTGCACCCCACATAGACAAGCTGAGGACAAGAGCAATGAAAGCTGACTTGGATCAGCTACACCGCAGAGTCCTAAGTAGGGTTCCGGCAAATTGTTTGAAGCTGACTAACAATGCTACAAAACAGGACAAACATATCCATTTCTAATTGCATGACTTCGATGTACCGTGGTTTTCTGAGGCATGGCCGAAGAAGCCATCAGCACGGCACCTGGTACCCAGGAATTGTGAAGTGCAGTAGCTGCAGCAATTCATGCACTGGCTTGATTCTGAACCTCAACTGGGCCTCATTGTGCGTCAGTGTTGGACACGCATTGCTAAATGGGTAGGATCCGCAGTTCCAGATGGTTTGGAAAGAGAGTATGTATGACATGAAAGGATTAGCCGACAAGACCAAGGTTCCCTCCTTCATGCTTTCTCTTAAAGGGCGCTCGTCAGTTCTGCTTCAGGCTGCACATTTCCGTTGGATGTTTGGCAGCGACGTTTGCGGAGTGCCTATCTAATGGTTGTTGCTCAAGAAGCTTAGCTGAAAATGGCTGAAGCATTTGTTCACGTTCGCTTCAGATTGAGTATATGTGAGAAGACTTCTCAGATATATCTCCCGTGAAAGTCAAACATGGAGTTTGCGAAAGATTCGCGAAAGTAAAGATTTTTTCGCGACGGATTGCATTTGCGTAAGAACGATTTTAGATCAACCACCATATGTGCAAATAATTGTATATATACTGTACTGTATAGACATGGTTGGGCTTGCGCCAATGGTCATGAAGCCAAACAAGCAGAGGTCATAGTTCGACAGTTTTACACAATGCAAGAATGGCTTGCTTGTTGGAGTGAGCCAAAAGCGGCTGAGGGCGCAGAGGGCACTTGGCAAGTTTTGGCCTCGGGCGGCAACAGCTGAGGGATGTAGGATTTTGAAGTCTTAGAAGATCTCAGACTCAGAAGCGCATCATTCTCGCGGTTCCAACTCAGGAACAAACTGTCGCCGCAGCGTCAGATCGCCGGACAGCCTCAGAGTCTGAAGGCGACTTGGACATTGTCATCAGAGCCCCTCCAGGCCCTCCAGGCAAATTTCTGCTGTTTTGATGTCCTTCAATCCAGATTTCACCAGTCTTGCGTTGAAGAGCCAAAGGCGCTTCAATTGAGTTTTCCGATGCCAGTCCGGCAGCTGTCTCAACCTTTCCGCAAGCCTGTTTGATTTTGCAGTCTTTTGCCTGACTTGGAGCCTTCTTTTTTTTGTCGTAAGATATTTTTGATCGCAGAGGCCAGCAGGAAACGAGCTTCAACCTTCCAGCCCTTTTTGGAGACACATGGTATACCGCCGCATCAACCTTGGAATGAGAGCCTGACAGCAAATGCAGATTGGAAGTATGACTTTCAGGCCTCGACCCCCTCCCAGTGCTCAGCTCATCCGGAAGCTTAAGCTGTGTACTATGGATACATGTGGAGTATTGCTTGTGTACGGTGGAGACGTGGCAATCGCAAGATTGCCTTGGAGCACCTTTGGTTCATGACCTTGTCCATCCATTTCTCCTTTTCTCCAATCCTGCAGCCTTTTGCAGGCTCCAAAGAAGTTGCTTCATTTGGTTTTTCAAATGTGCGAATCAGTAAAGAAAGCACTCATGTCCTTGTAGGTGATGTACACCAAAGGTGACACACACAAATCAAGAAGTGTACATGAAGGCCGCCATTGAAGGTTGTCAAAAGGATCCGCATGGTAGCGGAGCCAGGGATAGCAATTGCATAGCTCTTGCTTGAGGCTCCAGGATCCTTGGGGACGAGACCCAATCCCCTGGTTGGTGGCCCGGCCGCGCACACGTGCGGCAGCCATAGGTGCCTGGCTAGTGTTGGGCGGAGACCCAGCAGAGCTCGCAATCACTGCCAGAGTTCACCCTCGACTACCAGTTTGTCCCTTTGCCCGTGATCCCTACATCCACCCGAAGTCCATCACTTCTGAGTCCAAGGAGGGTGAGATCAAGCAGCTGTGGCTGGCTTGGAGGGGTCTCCATTAGCAGGGTCCCGCACTGGCAGCGCAGCAGGAGGTATGGTTGATGGGGCCGACCCGACGAATGGTCCAGGCTGTGGAGGCAGCCGGGGCGGGGAGGATCGAAACTGGTTTCGCATTTTGCCAAAGCCTCCCAACTTCGATCCGCGGTCCCGGGAAGAGGAGATAGCTCAATGGAGAAACTTCTCATGGAGCTCAGATCCAATCCAGGAAGGGAGATTGCAGTGGACCAAAGTGATGAAGAGCGCCAACGAAGCAGCTTCCTGTATGCCTTGTTGGCATCTCTCCTCCGCCACAGGCCTCTCTCCCTGATCAAGCAGGTGAAAGATTCAAATGGCCTGGAGGCCTACAGAGCCCTCATCCAGAGCCTGGGGCCCACGAGCAAGAAGCGGTCCCTTGGACTGACGATTTTTGGAGCGGGGACAATTCGACATGAGAAAGGGGAGCATTTTGAATCAGCTACTCAAGCTGGAAGAGGCCTATATGCAGAGTACGAGAAGACAGGAGCTCGCCTCGATGAGACCATCAAGTTTGCCACCTTGATGAGTTGTGTTGGAGGTCAGTTGAAGACATGGCTCCAGTTGCAGGTGGCAGAAACTCAAAGTTACAGCCGGCTGAGAGAAGCGATCATCCAGTACGACCACGCAACCACGAAATGGTCCAATGCAATGATCCTCAACCAGGACACAGGAGGACCAGCGCCCATGGAGATCGACCGCATCGCCGAAAAGGGCAAGGGCAAAGGCAAGTCCAAAGGGAAAGATGGAGGACCGGAAAGGCGATCAGAAGGGCACCAAAGGCAAGGGCAAAGCACCAGGAAAGGGCCAAGAAGGAGGAAAGACAGGCCAGAAGGGTCAGAAGTCTGATGGAAAGGGAAAGACAAAAGAGAGCCCAATGAAGACCTGTTTTACGTGTGGGAAGCCCGGCCACATAGCAAAGGATTGCTGGCGGGTGGTGAGACAGGTCGAAGCAAGTTCGAGCGCATCCCAGGGTGAGACGTCAAGCACCACCCATACTTCAGAGGCTACAACGACCAAGACCCCATCCATCAAGAGGATCGAAAAGGTTTCACAAGAGGTTTCACAAGAATTCAACCAGTTGATGGTGTTCGACCTCAGGTCAATCAGCGAGGGAGAGGAGCACATCAGGATGGTCAAGTTCTATGACATGGACGTGGATGAGATGGTTGGAGATGAGGAGCAGGAAATTCCGCTGCATGGGTATTTGTGTCGTCCAGCCGGAAGGAGATGACTACTTTGGAGGTGGCCAAGATCTATGTCAGGTCATCGTGGACTCTGGCGCTGATGCCACCGTTCTTCCTGCCTCGTTCCTTGGGATTGGAGCTGAGCTCTCAGAATCAGCCCCTCGTTCGCAAGATGCCCAAGGAGAACACATCCGCGTCAAAGGATACAAGAATGTGTGCTTCTGCTTCAGGACGGAGCAGGGCAAAGAGGTTGAGATTCATGAGAAAGCTCACTTTGCCGAGGGCGTCAATCAGCCGATTATTTCCTTTGGGAAGATGATGCAGGCAGGTTGGGGAATTGATGGGTAGGACCGAGTCTTGACCTATGGAGGAGGACCTCACCAGATCAGGATTCCCTTGAAACTGCAAAACAGAAGCCTCATTGCCGAAGGATTTGTGCGGGCCATTCAAACAGTACCGTGCATTGTCCGTGTGTTGGAGGCAAAGTTGTCGAAAGAGTTGGAGGATAAGGCCAGAGCTCAGAGCGGATGGGCAAGGTCTGGAGACAGATGGATCGGCATCCATGTGGGAAGGAAACTCCAAACGCCCCAGTACCAGGGGAGATCGATTCGAAGGTGAATTGGCTCCGGACGACCCTGATCAAGCAGCAAGGTCGTTGGCAGATGGTGGAGCTTTGTGAGGCGCTACATGGACTTACTTACAGAGCAGGAGGAGCTGATTGAGGAGGCAAAAGGGAGAGAACGCTTTGATGATGACCATCTTGACGAAGGACAGCTACACAACAGATGCGCTGGGATTTGAGGTCGACAGTGGAATGGAGCTGGCGGTCCAGCCAGTGGAGTGTGCATGATGAGCCCGTGAGGGAAGAGGGCGTAGAACAAGAAGGAAGGTTGGTTGCAGGAGGAGCAATGCCTGGAAGCTTAATGGTCAATGGGATTGAGATGACCGAAACTGCGAGAGCTTCGAGCAGCTTGCGGCTTCTATGGCATCAGCACTTCTGGTAGTAAGCTCAAGTGCTACCAGAGTTTAGTGAGCTACATCAAGGAGCTGGAAATGAAAGCAGCATCAGCAGCAGTTGCAGCGGCTCAGATGGAGGTGGCAAGGCAACCAAGACCACAGCCCTTGGTGAAAGTGCCGTCAGAGGAAGAGCAATTTTTGCATGAGTTGACACACACCCCATATCAGCCCTGGTGTGAGACATGCTTGATGCATCGCGGTCGATCGGACAGGCGTTTACGTACAGGAGCAGCACGACTTTCTGGCATTCCGATTGTCAGTATGGACTTCTGCTACACAAAAGCCGGAGAAATGGATCGACCAGCGCCAGTAACTATGGAAGAGGATGGAAGAGAGGTAGTGGATCTGCAGCAAGAGGAAGAAGCACCACAAGGCCATGACCTACCTGGAGGAGCAGAGGTGAAGACAGCTCTATGGCTGGTATTGTCCTGCAGCCAGACAGGATCGTTGGGAGCAGTTCCCTTGCAGTCAA